AATCCCAATTTTATACACGTATTAGTTTAAAATTGGTAACGTTACGCGACGTTTTGTGCACCAGATCGACATTCCGAGTATTTATGTCGACCACTGTATTTAGCGAAGTATCAAAGATTACGCCAAGAATTTCACAAACAATGGCGGCCAAGCTAGGTCGTTTACAATCACGAGCTAAGATATCGAGTTTAGGTACAGCATCAATTTCAGTACAAGCTGCGCTTGATTTTCGTGAAATGTCTTGCAGTGTCTATAAAAAAAATAACTGGAAGCGAGAAATTTCCCGGAAAACGTCACGCAAAATCTCATATCTCACATCTTGATGACAAAACAGTACGGATTCTAGCAAGATACTATACAAAGGTTTATGGATTTACCTTTTACGCAGCATGTGATCCTAAACAAGATCAAAATGCAATCCGTGTGAGTAATATGGTGGAACGTTTTGCTGCAATTCAATTGGGAGACGAAATCTTTGGCTCACGAGTTTCACGCTCCGACCTGAGTTCTTATGTCATTATTTCTTGTATCGATGAAATATGAAGAGCTGGTGAGATTGTTAGATCTGTGTATCATTGGCTTGCGCAAGTGATGTATTATTTTAAGCACCGTGTGTCTTTACCAAAGGAAACGAATTCTAACCAAACAAATTCATTGCTTAGCATTTGTAGATTGGTTTGCTTTATGTAATGATTGCAATCATTTTCATATTTATAATCACGAAACGTCTACTCGCAGTGTAGATAATAGTGGAAGGGCACATGGTGGAATGTTTTGTGCAGAACTCTGGGCCAATACATTCCAGACACGGACTGAAGAGGTATACTTCCAGTCCATCATATTTTCTGCCGATTTCTTGAAGGAAAATATGTATTACATTGAACGGAAAGGCATATAGTTGTAGTACCTATAAATCGAAAATTCGCAATTTAATTCAAATTTTATTTTTGCAAATAAGCAATATCAACTTCTCTTACTTGAATTGAATGTGGCGGGTAAAAATAAATCATGCCATAAAAGGAGAGATGAATGTATGCAAGGTTGATCCATTTAATTTTAATATGTGATGTAACTATCATATGACTGACCAAATATAGGTTTTTTTCTCCGAGTTTTTCTCATTAGTTGTGTTCTATATTTTTACCCTTAATTTTGATTCATATATTTTCTTTTTGATTTATTTGTTTAGTAATATCGTGGTAAAAAAATATAATGAAGTTTTGACTCCATGTTTCGATTAGGGGAGAAATCTAGACTATTTGATCAGTGGGAAAAATCAGGTTAAACTTATACAAGCTTAATCTAATTTTACCGGAGATTTATCTTGCCGATATTTTATATTATGTTTCACTTAGTTTTAACGCATACTTTTTTGAGTATTTAGCCTAATTTTCATTTTTTTGGAAAAACCATGTAGATATCTAGGGCGAAAACTATCAAATTAAGTTTGACCCTGCATTTTGACAAAAGGGGAAACCCACCCCGTTCGACCAGTGTTATATTAAAAGTAAATTCATATTAAAAGATTGTCTTTTATCTAACTCCAACAGCAATCTTTCTATTTTTCACTGCTAGAAAATCTAATTCTACATTAGTGATATTCGTAATATTGATAATCATTATCCAACAAAAATACTTCATAAAAAATTGAGTGAATATTAATTATATTAAAAAATTAAAAACTTTTCATTCTAATAGCACACCAATAAGAAAAGTAAACATTATCAAATCTGAAATATATGTTCTTGAGGTCATAAATTATTATATTTCAAAAAATAATTGATAATTATTATTTATAATTTTGAGATGTCAGACTTCTAAAATCTATAAAAAATTTGAATAGTATACAGATCTTAGAAGCTTAATGCCTTAAGATTGTGCATAATAATGTTAATTATTTTTAATATCATACTAATTTATGATCTCAAGCACATATATTCCAAATTCGGTAATGTTTACTTTTCTCGTTGATATCGATATGCTATTAGAGTGCAATTTTTTTAAATTCCATGTTCAAATTGTTTATAGATTTTAGAAGCCTGACTCTCAAAATTGCACATAATAATTATTGATTATTTTAATAATTTATGATTTCAAGAATATATATTCCAAATTTGGTAATATTTGCTTTTCTTATTGATGTATTATTAGTGTAAAGTTATTCGATTTTTATTTAATATAACTAATTTTCACCCTTTTTTGCCGGATAATGGAAAATGAGTTGCTGTCGGAGTTTTTTTAGTCTGGTGTTAATTTAACGTTAGTAATGGTCGGTCTATAACAATTTTTTCGAATGCATTATTTTCCCAGTATTACGAATTTCATGAATACTTTTTTGCACACACAATACGGTGAGATTATTTATGAACTAGCGGCAACGTAAATTGGGGCGTTGACGTTAAATTACTGCGCCATTGAGTAACCTACGCTATTACGTCAACATTTTTTTAGTGTTCTCTTTCTTTCATGAGTAATAATAAAGAACAAAAAAGTTCGGGAATTCTCGACAAAGAAATTTCTAGAGAGCCTCAAAATTTCTGTTAATAAAAAGGAAAAGTTCCTGAAGTGCTTGAAAATCCTGTTTATAAAGAGAAAGAAAGTTCCTGGAGAGCTAGACAAATTATTGGCTAAACAGGCCAAGAAAAGTGCGAAAAGGGCAAAAATGGCACTTCTGCTGTAAGCCAATGACCCTGCAAAACTTACGGCGAAACAAGTAGAGTTAGAGGATAGAGTTAGAACTTTGGTGAATCAATTAGCAATTCGTGAAGTTATGACTTCTTCTAGTACAAGTAAAGAAAAGGATACCAGTTTTCACAAGTTTTGGAGTACTTAACCTGTTATTCAGAATGGTGAGTTTTAAGAAAATCCGGCTTTCATCGTTATTATTTTTTGCAAAAATTCTGTAAAATTCTAATTATCTCAGTTGATTTAATATGAAGACGAGGTAGTTGAAAAAGATGGACCTATCGAGCCAAATACTCCTCATGATCAAATTCGTAAAGAACCATATATTCTGCCGAAAGAATTCGAATGGTCCACAATGGAACTGAATAGCCAGGAGAAGTAGTTACTTATTTGTATCATCATTATTTAGAAATCAATTCAATTAATTCTTTCTTGAAACTTTCGTAGTCAAACGAACTTTATACCCTTCTGACAGATAACTATGTCAAAGATGATGACGCAATGACTATTCCGGGAAATTCTTGATATCATTAATCCTTATCGAGCCTGTTTTTAGGGCTTCAATCGCCTGGATATAAGAAAGCATGGCATGCGTGGCTGCTACAAAGAAACTTGTTACATTCATTAGTGCTATACCCGCTTATATGAATTCTAATTATTTATGCCAAGTCTATTTTATTTTTTTTGGGAATCATCTTTTACATTCTAATCTTAAATACTTTTACAGTACTAGGGGACAGCATTTGGTGGAAATTAACTTCTTATGCGTGCATAAAAAACTGCGTAACAAGAGATGGTTCATGTACATGTACATAACATTTAGAATTCTGTAATTAAGTCGAGAAAACTATCTTTTTCCGACATGTCATTTTGCATGTGATCGACCTGTAACACCTTACCATGTGTCGAGTAATAAAATTTAATAAGAACAAAATAAATCGAACATAATCTTTGATTGACACTTAATTTCCAGATAATCATAAATACGTCAGACTATAAACACACGGGACCGCAATTTATCGTTATGATTTAGATTTCCGTTATGCTGTTAAGCAAAGCTAAATAAAAAGAGAAAAAAAATTATACTTTCTTTTTCATGACTAATTTTTTTTCCTTTTTCTGGTAAAATTTGCGTCATGGTTATCATGAGGCGTATCTTATCATGACATGATTTAGATGACTGATAGCCAGTGTTGGGAAATCAGACGCGCTTGTTTATTATCATTATGCGCTGATTTTATCTGCTCGTGGGAATAAACTCAAGAGCTTACACAAATTATAGTGTTTCAACTTAATAAATATTTATAATATATAATTGATAAACTAAAATGAAAAAGTAACGAGGCGTATCATGATCGATCATGATTATTTTATTTAGATGACTGATAGTGATGACGCATTCAGAAGGATCGCAGCTATAAAAGAATTGCGTTTTTTTATTAATTGTCTTCTCTAAAGTTATCTTCCCTAACTACGCACATATTCTTTTTTTTCTCTTTTTCCAGTTATCTTCCGTCTTTGCACCATCCTTAATAAGGATAAATTATAACACAAAAATATTAAACAGATTTCAAGTTAGTTTACCCAGACAATATATTTAGTTTTTAAGTAAGATACGAGTGTTCATTTATGCGAAAAGTTATAATATTTGACTAATTATTTATTAAACTATAATATAATTTATAGATAAAAGATATCGTAAGTCATCATTACGAGCAAAATATTTTTCTCTAGATGCGATACATTCGGGAAGCATACATTAACGAAATTCTCATTTATTTTATTATTAGTAAAAGATGGTCGACTATAGCACGATCGTTCAATATGATGACCTGTGTACAGATCTTTTGTTAGATAAACTAGAATTATGGTATATAGTCAATAATTATGCGTCTTTCTGCAAAATTTCCACACAAATCTGAAAAATTACGTTTCGCATTTGGTTGTCCAATATATATATATATATATATATATATATGTATATAGGTTTAATACACACAAATTGGACTCTCAATATAAACCTATTGATCCGAACAATGAATCCTCAAAAGACGCATATAATACGATCTTACAAACGATCAGATTCATTATTGATAATCCAGATAAAAGTGACGCTGCAACTCAAATGCTTTCGAAGTAAGCATCTTTAATAATATAAGTATACCTAAATTTTTTAATGTTTAGACACTTTAGTTATTAATTTATTCAAAATATAGGTCAAAAATCTTCCAAGAGAGATTACCTGAACTCGATCTAAACGCAAGAATGCCATCTAAACAGGCTAAAGCCTTTTTTGAGTAAGTATTAGTAATGAAGAAATATAATAATTTATTGATTTAACATGTAATTTCTCAAAATATTAGGCATTTAAAACGATACCTAAACATGTACCACCCAGATGCTGGGTTTGCGCTAGGGGAAACATTGCGTTATACTAATTCTAAAAAAGCAGAGGCATGTATCCTCGCGACTAAACATTGGACTAAAGGCGAGATTATACGATATTGCAATGGAATTCTAGTCGAACTAACCAAGGAAGAGGAATCAAAGTTGG